AAGTAGCATCGATAAATTGCCGAGAACTAGAAAAAGGGTGTGGGTGTAGATGTGGATGTGGGTGTGGGTGTGAGTGTGGGTGTGGGGTGGGTGTGAGTGTGACTGATAGAACAATACCAACACCCACACCCACACCTACACCCCACTCACACCCTACTGCCCATTTCAAAATAAAAGGCACGTGGGTATTTTTTGAATAACTTTTGATAGGAACAAGATAGAGAGCTGTGGTTTTCACCGTTGGAAAGAGCAGATGAAAACGCATCGAACCGTATAAGACAATGATTTTTAACTTGGATTTTTGAAACCTTTTGCAATAGTTGAACAAAAAATGCCTTAAAAACAGGCCTGATTTTTCCAGGAAAAACGAAAAAACTGTTTTTTTTACAGAAAATGCCGGCAAAATGGACTATAATTGTCGAATATAATACCTAGAACTTACAAACCAGTAAAGCTTTGAATCAAGCATTATATATAGTTTTGTAGCTCTTGAGTTGGCGATTCTAACGTACTCCTCAAAGTCGAAGATTTGTTCTACCTTCAAAGAACAATAGTCTACTCTTTCAAGATGACAATGGATCACTACCTATTTTTGAGATAAACCTTAACAATTTTATATGAGTTAATGCGCTGAATCAGCCTCTTTGCAACGGTGAGAGCCACAGCTCTCTATCTTGTTCCTATCAAAAGTTATTCAAAAAATACCCACGTGCCTTATATTTTGAAATGGACAATAGTACAATCATATCCACATTTCCTACCATTATCTTATCCATTTTTTTTCCATGTTACTTTTAGTGGATGTTTATTTTCAATAAACCATTGTGCTATTTTAGTTATATTCTTTGTATCGTCGATTCCAGAATGGTGTCGTCCTTCTAATTTTAAATTTAATTTCTTTAATAAATCTTTCATTCCTCTATGTTATGTCGCCGTCTCTTTTCTTACTTTGTTGTTATCACCGAGATAGCAACGTGATAGGATGACCACAGAACGAAACAAAAGAATAATCTCCCTTTGCATGGAATCGAACCATGCATCTCCTGCTTTCCGGGCAGTCGTATTAACCACTGTACTAGGAAGGAGTACTCATTATTCGTTTCGTTCCGTGTTATGTTCGAAAGAGAATACTTCGAACATAACAATCTAATTCGAGTTGATGGATAATATTCCATACACAAATCTTTTATATTAATAAATTCATTAATAAATTTAGGTCGATCAAATCCACTTTGTTTCAGTTGTAATGGTAACATTGTTCGTGAATCCCAATTCCCACATGTTATCCAAGTAAAACTATGACAATTAGAATTATGATCTACTAATGAGATTAATGAATGTTTAAGTAAAAATTGTTGAACATCTTTCCATACAATATCAAATGTTGGCGAATTATCGACAATAGATTGAGTAATACCGGTTATCGAAATACATAAGTCGTTCAATGTTGTTTTAATCGATGGTCGAACATAACTATGATAAATATCAACTATTGTATTAGTTTCAGCTGATAGTAAACAGATTGGAAATTCAATGATTTCCCAAATATCGTCGGGTGATGGTTTTTTCAAACTCGGATTCGCTGGATGATATACAGCTTCAAAACATAATACACAATAATAATCAAATGGTTGATCAACACTATTGGTAGTTATTATATTGTAAGAGAAAGGAACTGTACTTGCACCTAGTTCAATGTTCATATCGGTACCCATCCGTTTTCCTGTTAGTTCAATATTGATTAGAATGTCTCGATCCAAATAAGTGTTCTGTTGAATGAATGTGACTATATAAGAATTTTGTTCTGTAAGCTTGGCATTGACCAAATACGATGGTGAATTGATTTTAGTGATCTCCCATTGATTATGTTCGTCCATTCTTTCTACGTAATAATGAGAGTCGATTGTATACGAACTCGACTGCGTGTTAGTGTAATTATCATGTTTTACAGATTTGTATTAAGGTGCAATAATCATTGGAATGATGAATCCGATATTTGAACTCGGTAAAAACTCTAATTTGATGTCATAAGTGATGTAAATTGTACATTCTTTCGATGGAGACAAACTGCCTACTTTGACAATAAAGTTGTCTTGTAATTTTTTCTTTCGTTGGAATCAACAGTCACCACCATCATGATGTAATATATCGTTGTAATCACTTTGTACGTCCTTGATAGTAACAATATCTTGGTCATCAATACGTGCTAAGAATGAGTAGATAGTCCTTGCTGTTCCTTTAGTCAGAAAGCAATAAACAGTTACGACTGATGTATGTTCGTCATTGCCAAAATACTTGTGTTCGAGTCACTTCAACATCCAATGAATGAGTCTTTGCTTCGATGATCATCTTCTTTAGAAGCACATATGGTGTGCTATCTATTGTCGTTTTGTCTCGCTTGATACAAAGCATTTGGTAAATATGTATGTACGAATAAGTTTCAATACTATTTTTACATTCACAGTTTCATAATCAATATTTCATAAATGACTGAAATACAACTACTGTCAAAAACGCAAAAACAACGGCGAGAAAGAAAAAAAACAAGACGAAAAATATTACTTGAGTCATCGTAACGTATCAGAATGATTCATCACTTATTTGTACGAGACAGGACTGATTCGCTTTGGTAGTCTTGCTAGCAGGGGAGTACATTAGACGAACTCATCCTCTCATCTTAAAAATTATCTTTTCCTTAATATACTTTGAGATATAAACCGAAGACAAAAGAAGTTTCTCTAAACTATTTCATAAGATTTTTCTAATCATCTGAATCTGTGATTCTTCTGATCAGTCAAGTCATAAATATTGATATAGATCTGATCCGAGTGTTTGGTGAAATTTACGAACATGAAGAAATTCATATAAACAAATTTCTATGTTGAAAGAAGAATAGAAATACAAAATCAAAATACTTCTTATCATGGTTATATGATTGAAATCGATGAAAGGTTGTTATTATTAGTGTTTATAAATAGAATTTAATAAATATCATATAATCAACACATTTCCAATAAAAAGTAAAAGTCGTGATTATACATAACTGTTCATTTGTTCGTTAAATTCTTATAAAATCAGTTTTAGTCTTGGATAATCTTTTTGTATTTCCAAAAGATGATCTCTTCCATCATCACTCATATTATTATATCGAATGTCCAGAAAGAAGAGTATCTATATGAAATGTGAAGTAGATAATAGTATGAAAACAAGAAATTATTACTTCGTTTTGGCGAAGAGCAGGGTATGGGTGTATGGGTGTGGGTGGGGTGGGTGGGATGTGGGGTGTGGGGTGTGGGTAAAGTACCTACAACCACAACCACACCCACACTCATACCCACACCCACACCCTTCTGTCGAATATTGAGATCTCGTATATAGTCGAGTGAGGGTAGAGATGTGGATGGTTGAATGATTATCTACACTCACACTCTCAAATGATATTTATTTATTTTTAGAATCAGTATCTATATATGTGACAAACTATTATGAACAATCAATATAGATTAAACATCAAAATCTCTATGATAGTAACTATCATTATCAAGAGATGCAAGCGATAGTTTCTTGTTTTATTGAACGTCGTCGTGATGTTCTTTAAGCTAATCAGATTCTAACAAAATAAAACGTTTCATTAAGTCCATGTGATACCCTTATAGAAAAATTAACTGAAGGTTCAAATCATTATTTTCATGTTTATACATTAAATGGGGATTATCTTCAATGTGAGTAGCTTAATTAATATGTCTATTTTATGTCAAAACTAATATGAAACTTACAGCACCATGTGAAATCGATACGAAGATTTTAAAAAAAGCCCATTTTATTTAGTTTCATTGCCAAAACCACTTGATCTCGGCATTAGAAAAGTCAATGATCGATCGATTACATTAGCATGGTTACTAGCTATGTAACCATTACAGGATAAAACTGATACTATATGACCTTATATATTTGAAGTATGTGATTTTTGAAGAATATTCACAACATCAATCAGAAAAACTTGGCGCATCAGAAACAACATATATACAAATAGGTTTTTATTCTGTCTTCGTACATTAACATGTGAAACACAAGTTTTATCACTTAAATTTACATAAAAAACTAAACATTATATTAGTGAAGAATGTGAGGCATAAAAAAAAAATTTGAATACTATAAATTGTGTTTTTCACTGAAAATTCTTCGTATGATCGTTCAAGGAAAGTAGTAACATAGTTCATTCATTTTTGACTTGAGAACCAACTCCACCTATTTTTCCTCCTTTACGGAAAATAGTCGACATTGTTGGGCAATCGGGTTGGCTGCTAGTAGATATAAATTTTTTAAACAATTTTCTTTCTTTTCCATCATACCGCCCTGCCCTACCTTCTCAGGGCAGAGAAAGTTATTCATGACCTTCAAGTCTATAGTCCTAAATAGTTGATTGTGACAAAGATAACAGATATCATGTTGTTCTGCTGTTTCATTACAATTGTAATATGCATTTTATTGTGATCAACAATGGCAAACAGGAGAAGTAGCGTTGTCGCTACTATTGGCATAGATATTCACTATAATGCTTCATCACACCAGTTGTGTCTGTTTTGTACAGAAGACGAGTTAAATGTAGGAGAAAGAAAAAGAGAGACAAGTACGAATAAAAAACGAAGTGAGCAGGCAGCTTCGTCGGTCAAGAGGTCACAGCGGTTATAGCAGCATAGTGACCCATTGTTTTGAGAACGTTGAACCAATAAAAGAAGAAGATAGGTCATATCTTTTCTGTTCGTACAGTGATCGTTGTTGTCATTCTTGCAGTTTTTTTTCTCATGATTACTCTATCAAATTTTGAGACGAAATAATTTATTAAGTGTTAATTTCTTATAGATTGTGCAAAGTTTTGTCGTATATACTTGTTCGCTTTTCTGATTACTACACAAAACACAAAAAAATGACATCGTCATATTTAGTTACAATTCCCAAAGCTAAACTTAATTTAAAAACGGTGAAAGGTAATTTCTTTTTGTGTTGAAAATAATGATTTATTCTTTTTTTTTGAAATTATTAACTAATCATTTTGATAAATTTCTACATGACATATCTTAGTTTATAAGAATATTTTATATTGTTTAGATTTTATTACCGGTATATTTATTGATAATTCTGGCTCAACAAGTTCTCAGTTGGTTTCAATAGGAAAAAATGTTTTAGAAACTGAATTGAATATTTGTCAAGTTACTCAGTTTGATTATGTTGTTCTTTGGAATACATCAGCTAAATTATGTACAAATATTGAAACATCAACACCGCAAGGTGGTACAAGTCCAATGGCTATATTTCACAATGAATCAACGAAAGAAGCATTTAATAAATCTGATGTTATTGTTTTTGTTACCGATGGAGAAATTGATAATAGTAGTGTTACACAGGTAAAAAAAGAGAAAAGAAAACTGAATAATTTGAAATTTCTATACAAGAATGAAACCATCGAGTTTTGAAAATAATTATCTTTTTTTTTTCTTCAATTAGTATAATCAATCGATAATTTGACAAAAACTCGTTCGATCGTACGAAAAGATATATTGTTTAGTGTGAGATTTCATGTATTACAATGTTTTATTCTATCGCTTTCCTAGTAGACGAATATTTCTTTTTACCGAAACTATAAAGACTAAGCGTGTTACTGGTCTTTTCTAGCTTTGTAGAAATTGAATCGCGACTAAAACACAGATTAAAATTATGTTTGAAAATTGCTGATGCGTATTTCGTTGATAATAAAAGAAAAGTCTTAATCATTCATATAATAAAAAAATAATTCGAGTCTTTCGATCATCTTTTGACCAAATGAGCAAGTGATTGAACCATTCATTGCACGTCGATTGATAAAAATGCTGATGTGAGTGTGGATTTTTGGACCCGGACCCGACCGCTTAAGTGTTTTAGATCCAAACACAATGATAAATCGGTTTAGATATTGGGTTGTCAATAAAGTTTTTGTGTTTTTTTTAATCCTCTAAAATATTCGCGAAGCTTTCAGAAGTTTCCATACTTAGGGTATATATATAGGGGGCACGAATATCTTGCGAACAACAAAACTACGAGTAGAGAAGCTAGTTTCGAATTAGAAATGGAGATTTCTCGTAGAGAGCTCCGAGTGGTTTTACTTCATAAATTCCGTTTTAGGCCGTGCAGCAACAGAAGCAGCAAGCGACATATGCAGCACGATGGGCAACGATGCACTCTTCATTTGTACAGCACAACATGGGCTCAACTTGCTTTTCAAATTTGGGCCTTTATAGGACCATTATAGAGTATGGACAGGCTAATGGAAACTTTTATTATCAGAAATATACTCTAAAGCCGCATTGTTGACCCGAATGCTTATTATATCAGTTAATAACTCAATAAGCTCTATAAATTGGCAACACTAAAATTTGAAAAGTGAGTGATCAAACCTTTGCCTTCCCTCGTCAGGACGAGGGAAATTGTCAAGTTCGAACTTCTCATTCTTAAATGGATTGAGCCAATGTTGCACTGTACAAATGAAGAGTACATCGTTGCCAATCGTGCTGCATATGTTGCTGTACGGCCTAAAACGGAATTTATGAAGTAAAAGCACTCGGACCTCTCTACGAGAAATCTCCATTTCTAATTCGAAACTAGCTTCTTTACTCGTAGTTTGATTGTTGTTCGCAAGATATTCGTGCCCCCTATATATATACCCTAAGTATGGAAACTTCTGAAAGCTTCGCGAATATTTTAGAGAATTTAAAAAAAAAACGCAAAAACTTTGTTGACAACCCAATAGTATAGTCAAGAAAGGTTTTGTTGTTTTTTTATCTATTTTCTAAATACATTTGATTTCTTTATTTTCATAAAACGAAGAAAACTTTAAAAAAATTCAAAACACATTGTATGCATCAAAGTTTCCTTCAGACCCGAACCGGATCCAGGTCCTACCCGACGGGATCTACTCCTCACCAACATCTCACTATTAAAGTCAAAGTTTCAAGTATTTTGATTTATTTCTATCCTGCAATAAGAACATGAAATCTGTTGGTATATATGAGTGATTTAAAAGAC